ACTGAGAATAATGGAGTTAAGCATCAGAAAGCACCTTTTTACATCGATTTCTTGCAATAATAAATAGCCGTTTGTTCTCAAGAGAGTTGTTCTTTTGAAAAAGATGAAAAAAATGATTACGATTGGATATAGCAGCCGCACAAGAAGGAGAAAACCATGGAGTAGAATGAGGCTTGACTTGAAACCGACGAGAAGGAATAAAAGCTTCCATTCCAGCCTGAATCCAGGAGGTTACGTAGGAGGCACATTTGTCAGCTGAGAGAGAAAAATCATCAGCCCAAGGACCATCACGAAGAAAATCACGAAAGGAATCCCAGTCAGCTTTAGGGTAGTAGTAGGTGGTGCGATGATAAGGTGAGCCCAAAAAAGAAGTACGAGAAGAAAGATTTATAGAGATCATTGCATGGTCAGAACCACCTAAGGGAGAAAAGGGAGAAACTGAACATAAGGTAGGGTCAGAGACAAGACGTAAGTCAAGGAGTGAAGGTAAATGATTAGGGTTGTCAAGAAAACGAGTCACAAAGTTAACAATCTGAATAAGAGATTGAGAAACGCAGAAGTTAAAGGCTTTAGTGCCAGCAGGATCAGTGGTGTTAGAGCCAAGCCATTCAGTGTGATGGGCATTAAAATCACCAACAACAACAATATTGGCAGAGGGGTAAAGAGAGAGGGCATGGTCAATTTATTCAGAGATAACATCTAAAAGAGTGCAATCATGGGAAGAAGGAGAACGATAAAGAACAAAGAGAAAGGTGATAGAGTGAAGAGGTGCTAGGCGAAAGCACATAAAAGAATGGTCAAGGGATTCGAACCTGATTTCACGACAAATAGGGGAATTAATGCGTATGTATACCCCTAAACCTAGCATGTGACTATTGGAGTCTTTACGAATCAAAGGATAGTACCCATCAACTCTGACATCTGAAGAAGGAATTGCAGAACTTAAATTTGTTTCACTGAGTGCAAGCAAGTCTGGTGAATTTTGCAGGAGGTAAGACTCAACTGATGGAAAGTTGCTTCGTAGACCGCGAATATTTGTAAAAGATATATTAAAATATTTAGGTGGTGGGGATGGTTTTTTAGGTTTTAAATTTTTGGTTACTTTGGTCATGATTTGGGTTTAATGAGAACTTGACTCATTCATAGATAGAGCACAGCCTCCTAATCAATGAGCTATGCAGTTGTCTCAGTCCTGTTAATTAACCCTAAGCCGTGACATAGGGCTCCTTATGCGGCCTTGACAATGCACACCAAAAGCATTAACAGGGACACCATCCATGCGCAACATGGCACTGTTAATACTCTGATATTTTGCAGCTGTTGATGGAATCAGCCTCTCTGAGAGCTACCACAGAGTTCGGGAAACCTTACTACCAGCCGGCCTCAGAACCATTAAACTGAGTTTTAGAGCTGTACCCTCATATGGAGATAACAGGAAGAGTTGCATAGCCATTATCATAGAGGCATAAGCAAAATTCTATGAGTAGAGTCAAGGAGATCCAGCATTCATCATCCTAGGCAGGAAACAATGTAACACAGGTTACATCTACGCCAGCCTAATAGATGAAGAAGGGGTTCGAGGCTGGTTAGCAGAATTTTTCTGCTTACCCCTAAAGTCTTTGCCTAGGAGGCCTTCTACAAGACAGTAGCAGGATGCAGTTAACATCTGCCCAAGATGAGTATTTTTATCGAGACACCATCTCTAGCCTTTACTCAACCAAGAGCCCCAAGGCAGGGGATGTTTAGCTGGATGCAGTTAACATCTGCCCAAGATGAGTGTTTTTATCAAGACACCATCTCTAGCCTTTACTCAACCAAGAGCCCCAAGGCAGGGGAATTTTTAGTCGGAGTTTATTTCTCCTAGCCTTTGCATAAGAAGAGCACACTCTGCAAGGCAGCAGGGCTTGTGGCAGGTGGTACTGGGTTACGTGATACCAGTAGCAAGATTGATCTCGATTATCCTGACCTGACCTGGAGTAGTTAAAAGGAGCTACTTCCCGCAACAGTACTTTGAGAAAACCAGGCATGACATTTTGGAAGTGCATTAGGAAAAACACTGCATCTAACAAAATACAGGAGTCTAAGGTGAGTGTACGTTTTGTAGTTGGATTAAGTAGTTAGTTACTGAGCTCACGCTGCATTAGAGTATAAACAGAATACAAACAAACATAAATCAACTTACGGGTGAGTCAACACCACGCCAGAGGTTCAGACAGAACACAAACATACATAAAAAACATAAAGTAACTTACGGGTGAGCGAACACCGCGCCAGAGGTTCAGACAGAACACAAACATACATAAAAAAACATCAAAAACATAAACATAAACATAAAGTAACTTACGGGTGAGCGAACACCGCGCCAGAGGTTCAGACAGAACACAGACATACATAAAGAACATAAAGTAACTTACGGGTGAGCGAACACTGCGCCAGAGGTTCAGACAGAACACAAACATACATATAACGTAGATTACAGGTGAGCTAATACAGTAACTAAGGCACCTCCAACTATATGGGAAAAAAAAAAAAAAAAAAAAAAAAAATTACTATAGTCATGACTGATATAAGATAGTACTGATGACAGGAAGAACACTCCTTCCAGCCTTTGCTTAGATAGCAAATCCTGCAAGGCAGCAGAACATGGAACAGGTTGCACTGGGTTACATGTTACCAATAGCAGGATGATCATGAAGACCATACTCCTGACCTGACATATATATATATATGACCTGTATATATATATGACATATATATATATGACCTGACATATATATATATATATATATATATATATATATATATATATATATATATATATATATATATATATATATATATATATATATATATATATATATATGTATATAGAAATTCTATTGTAAACTTTTACACGATTTAATTTTATCATTTGTTGTATTACCGAGGATGTAAAAAAGTTTATACTTTATTCTTGAAATCTTATGTAAAAAGTACCCCAAATTGTTTGCCATGTACTTGTCGTATGTGAGCGTGTGCATTTGCTTTTTATCTTTTCGTTTTTGTTATCTAAATATATATATATATATATATATATATATATATATATATATATATATATATATATATATATATATATATATATATATATATATATATATATATATCTTTTTTGTTTTTTTTTTCATTTATTTAAAATTTTTTTTTATTTATTAAAGTTTTTTTTTTATTATTCTCAATCTAACATAAGAAATTAAAAACAAAAAAAGAAATAGGAGGATAAAACATAAAAAGTATTTTTTTTTTATATTTCTTTCTTTCTTAATCTAAAACATAATTTTTAAGAATTTTTAATTATTATTTCGAAGATTTTGTAATATCTTACACGGTTTTTAAAAGCTATGCTATGAATGGTATATACTACGGGGCTTAATCATAAGACAACTATAGTCTTCTTTTTGCTCCTATCGTGTAAATTTTTATTTATTTAGTTATTATAACTATTGTCAAACGGAGATATATATATATATATATATATTATATATATATATATATATATATATATATATATATATATATATATATATATATATATATATATATATATATATATATATATATATTAGGGATTAGGGCATAGCAAAGTCTGTATATATATAACTTATTTAAAAAAAATTATTATATCTTGAATATTGTCTTAGAAACAAAGACTTTCAAACTTTCAAACAATGCTAACGTAACTCGGTAAGTAACAAAAATTTTCGTTTTTTTGCTAAAAAGATAATTTTAATTTGCTAACTAATCGAATTAGATTTAACCAGGTTTTCAAGATTGACTTTCTTAAAAAAACTGTAAGCAAAATGGTTGTCAAATAAATAATAAACGAGTTTTGGGTGCGCTGATTTAAAATCTTCTCTTAATACGTATTGTATAAAAAAACTTTTATCATTATTTTTCGTGATTCAACTGTTTCAAAATAAAATTAGAGTCACTTCTCGTGATTTAATCTGTAAAGTATATACTTAGACGCATTTATAAAACTTCAGAAGCTGAATATACAAATGGTCAGCTGAAATATCTGAATTGGATCAGGTTATAATGCAACTACACTTATAAATAAGCTCGTCTAAAATTTTAATGAGCAACATAAAATAGATAACCTTGTCCAAAATTTTAATGATCAACATAAAATAGCTCGTCCAAAATTTTAATGAGCAACATAAAATAGATAAGTTCGTCCAAAATTTTAATGAGCAATAAAATAGATAAGCTCGCCCAAAATTTTAATGAGCAATAAAATAGATAAGCTCGCCCAAAATTTTAATGAGCAAACTAATGCAACAACGAGTAGATCCGAATCCAATAGGGATTTACAGTAGAAAACAAGAACATTAAATAACCTATTAAACAACTAACAGTTATCAACGCATTCGCCATTCAGCAACCACAAAAAAAAAAGCGAGTAAAAAATATAATTATTTATGGCATATAAAATGGTAAATCTGCTCAGTTATCAAATGCTCGTTAAGATTTCTTTGCTCAAGTAAGAACTCATTTTATTTAGTAAACATAGGCATATTTTATTATCTAGTATGTTTACATATTATGCACAATTATTTTCAATTTAAAAAATTCACAAAAACATTTTTATCATGCTTAGAACACCCCGAGATAGATTCGATTTATCCTAAATTTGTGTAACTTTAATTTCTTGTTCACACTAAATAATAAACGCTATTAGAAATATTATGATCGGGGATAGCAAAATAATGTTTCTGTGGCCATAAATAATCAACAAAAAACAGTTTTAACTTATTTTAAAAATACTTTAAAAATGCTACCTTTTGCAACAGGTAGTAAATAATTAGTGTTCATATTGTTTAATGTAATAATAATGTAGTAAATTTTAATAGAGTTAACTTTAATGTAGTAAAGTCTTTTATTCTAAAAACAAAATAAAATTTCAGTTTTATATTTAATTAAACGACATTGCTTTTAATTTATTTTTTAAACAAAACTACTAAGATTAGTAAATATATTTCTATTATGTAAAACTGATGTTTTGATCCTATTATTATATTTGCATTCTGCTAAGTTGGTTATATACTAGTCTCAGTGATTGGTTCTGGTTTTAATAATGGTTTTTTATCGACATGTTTCTTCTTTGAGGAAATCTTTTTCGGTTTACAGTAACAAAATAAGTAGAGTGGATGCACTAAACAGATAGTGACCAATATAAGAAGAATTGTGTTTACCTACAAAAAAAATGTAATTAAAATGTTAGGTAACTCCATTTTTACTTTTTCATTTTTACTTTAAATATTTATTATCTCATAAGAATTATAATGTTTTATCTAACGTTTTGTAGTTGTTGTAAAACTTCCGATATTTCGTGATTATATTTTGCTGCTATTAAAAGTTAAAAAAGATAAAACCTTATATTTCTCAAGCGACGTTATGTGAAAACTATAATCTAATAAAGAACGCACCCAAAAAGGATTTCCATTAAGTGTATTTTTCGTTAGCTTAAATAATGCGTACTGGAAAAATCCAAATATGGAAGAAACAAAAACATTTAAACCAAACAAAGTTCCGTATTGTGATGCCGGGAATCTAATAATAATAAAATAATTTCCTATAAAAAATGTTTAAAAACATCTTACTAATTAATATTAATTATCCGAGGTTTTACGGTTCAGACAAGCACTGCATGGAATGGCTTTGGTAAGAACTTTTATCTGATAATTTAGGCAATTAACAAAGAGCATTAAGGGAAACTACCGGAAAAATTAAGGTATTTTAGCAAACATCCTAAACATTAATAACCACACATAATACCCCTTCCTTCCCTCCAACACCCAAACAGACCTAAAAAAAAAAAAAATTATTTTTTAAAAATGCTGGAAGTTTTTTTTCAAAAGAAAAAATCTTAAAATTTTTTTCGAAACATTCAAGCGTCTTAATGGCATATCTGAAAATATTTTTCGAGGCAAAAGTCATTAAACCTTTAACCAAGGTCACATGTGCTTACATTCTTTTATTTTATGTTAAAATTTGTGAAATATGTTAAAAATGTAAATTCAAAATTTGTTAGAACCACAGCAGGAATATTATCCAAACTCAAAAGAATAATCTATAGATGCAACATTAAGAAAGACATATAAAATAAAATCCTTTTTTTTTAAAAAAAAGTGAAAGAGTGTATTTATCGTTTATTTAAATATATCAATAGATTTTATTTTTTCATACTTTCGTCAAGAACCGAGTTCCAGAAGCATGGTTCCCGACGTGTAATTAAGAAGTAAGATTATCTAGTGAAATGCATCACTAAAATAGTCTGACTTAATCATAAGTATGAATTCATATTTATGATTAAGTAGAGAGACATTTTTATACAAGTATTTAGGAATTATTTTTTTTTGAATGTTAAGCATAAATAACAAGTTATAGTAAATATTTAGTTTGTATACGTTTAGAACACTTATTCCCTTGAGTAATGGCTCGGCACTTTCTTATTTAAAACTAATCAACTTAGTTTGCTTTTATTTTTTATAAATATTTTTCAGGAAAGATGAATGAGTGTTTGCCAAGATAATATTGTAATAGTTAATATGACTATGTATAAATGAGCAGTATAAATTTCAAAAAATTGCTTAATTCATAAGATGTTTTGTCTAATACATAATCCCCGGAGTCTTTCAAACTTTATTTTCGACTAATTTTATTTTGCTTTTTCAATTTAAATGTTCGTTGTATTTTCATTGAAGAAAAACTTTTTATTTTGGTATAGTTAATTGTTAGTTCTACTATTTTAAGTGGAATGTTTTTAAATTTAGATGGTTTAACAAAAAAATATACTTCATTCTATCTTCAATGAAAGTTTGTTTCCTATAAACCACTCATTAAGATATATTAGTTCTGTGTTTACATAATTATCTCAGTAAACACCGTACGATGGCCCTTTATTGGGCAAATAATTTTTTGAACAAGTATAACGGGCTATTGTATCCCATAATTTTGCCTTATTTGCTGAGGCTTGACGTTTGTTGGCTTGCATTTGCAGCTGATATAGAAGCTTGGCTCATGATTGGCTGATAAATTTAAACCAATAGCTGCAATAAAGTTGGGTTTTTTAATGTGGGACACATTTCCGAATAACCCAATCATTTTGGACCAATATTATTAGAAATAACTTATTGTTATTATAGACCTGTATTTAGTTTTAAAGTCATATCCTATTCCAAAGTATGCATATATATGTATTATACACATATTTTTCCTTCATAGTTTTAGTTTATTTACATGTATCTTTCGATTTACGGCACTGATCTTGTAATCAAAATCTTCGACCATTTTAGTAAAACGTGCTTGGAATATGTGTTGAAAATATGTGTTTTCTAGTGTTATTTTGTAGAATTTTATATCAACAAATATTTTTTAAAAATTAGAATAGTTAAACATTATTTTTGTGTTGTCCTTTTTTGTATTTATCACTGCTATCGTTGAATTTATGGTTCTTAAAAACTTCATTGTTGATCAGATGTATAGTTCATATTAAGGAAATGTTGATAAATTTTTAAAATCTATTAGGCCCAGTACAAAAACTTAATTTCTTAGTGCATGCTAAATTTCATTAAAAAATATAATGTATCAGACACCTTATTTTTTGTAGCAAAATAGGTACTTATGTGCTGTAAGAATGTGTCATTTTGTAGAGTTTTGAACCAAAGTATATGTTTAAGAAAAAGTTGAAAAGTTAGGCATTATTTTTATATTGTTCTTTTTAGTAGTTATCACCACTATTATTAAATTTACTGTTCTTAAAAAATTTGTTGTTAATTAGTTTTAAAATTTATATTGAAGGAACGTTGATTTTTTTTTTAAATCTATTTTTCCCTGTGCAGAAACTTTTTCTTTAAGTGCATGCCAAATTTCATTGAAAAATATTATGTAGCAGACACCTTATTATTTGTTGCAACATAGGTACCTAAGTTGAACTTTTTCCGGAGGATAAGGTAGGCAGAGGGGGGCTAACAACGCACTTTTAAAAAAATCGTTGTTAGCCCCCCTTCCCCTATATGTATATTTATATAATAATATATGATATTAATAATAATAGCATATATGTATATATATATATATATATATATATATATATATATATATATATATATATATATATATATATATATATATATATGTGTATACATTACAGAATAGTATATATATATTATTGCTCATAACATGGCATAAATTTATATTATGAGCAATAATATAAATTTATTATTGCTCTGTTTTTGAGCACTATTTGTAGAATACACTAACATAATTTATATAATTATGTTGGTGATGTTGGTGATGCATAGATGCTAATGCATTAACAAGACAAAATCTTAGTTTTAAGTCATTTTATTTAACCAATATAGATTAGACATATTTTATATTATAACCAATGTTAATTTGTCAAGAAAAATTAAACGGCTGACTTTTTATATTCATCAATGATTTTTTCTATTTAAATAGTAAATTAAATGTGTTATATAACAGGAGTTAATTTAATTTAATTTTTTTTTACCATAAAACATTAACCTTTCCTATAATTTCAAATGTCAATATCTTTGATACATTTTATTTTACTGCATACTGAAGTCTATGGATAGTCTGTTTATACTATGTCTGTTTATACTATGTTATGGAAAATTATTAACCTGTATTTACTGTGTTTTCATTAGTAAAATATTAAGAGTTAAATATAAATCATATAAAGAAATAATTGTATAATTTTATATACTTAATATATAAAGATGAGTAAGGAAAATTACTCACCTGTTTTTAATGTGTTTTCATTAGAAATATATAAAAATTTTTGCACAATGTAATATTTTATATTTATATAAAAAATGATCTGATGTGTATAACAAAATTTTGTAACCATATAGCTAAATAAAAATTAAAAAAATATCCAAAACTTTTGAAACTAAAAATATGGAAACTTGTAATTATGAGCATTCGTCAGCTGTAGTTTTGTTTTCAATTTTAAGTTTAAAAGAAATGGCAACATTATTTTTGAATCTTCAGCTTTCCTAAGTTTTAAACCTTTTATATTTTAATATTTTATTAGTTTTGGGAAATAGTTTTATAAACATAGTCATAGTATGCATAAGTCTGCATACTTTTATTAGTTTTGGGAAATAGTTTTATAAACATAGTCATAGTATTAGTTTTGGGAAATAGTTTTATAAACATAGTCATAGTATGCATAAGTCCGCATACTGAAAAATTTTATTAAATTTCGTAAAACGCCTGCTCTTGTTATGTTGATTTAATAGATTTAATTTCTTTATGGTTTGATTATAATCAGATTATTATTTTTTTTAACTTTCATTTTTATATGTCACATCTATTTTATTTCAAGTACTATAGAGAAAATTAAATAAAGCAAACAATGATGGACGGTAAGTTATGTTATGCATCAGAAGTTAGTTTATTTTAATTTATTTTTACCCTAAAGCATACCAGATAAATTTTATTTATCATTACAAGGTTTTAACTAAGAGCATGTTGAAGGATAGAGTTTTGTTTGTACAAATGTTGATGCCTTAATAAGACAAGAATAATAGGTAGATAATATTTATTTCACTAAGATTATATTTATTAATGCAGTAGTAACAGTTAGATATTTATTAATTAGGACATTGGATTTCTTTTTCCTTGATGTTTGTGCATTATGATTTTTTAGTGATCTATTTATTTTTAGATAGCATTTAATAGTGTTTATTATATGGACTAAAGAATCGACTTTTTATCTTTAAGGATGTCAATGTTCAATGGTAAATGGAAAATTTGCACCTTGTATGCATTATGAACACGAAAAAAGGCTATTTTCATAGCCACAATTCTGCTAAAAACATAATTAAGCAAATAGGAAAATAATTATTTTAGTGTAATTTTTTTAATCTACTAATTTTATTTACAAACAAATAACTATTTCCATTGGCGTATTTATTTTGTCGGAGTAGAACAGTGATTTAATTTTGAAGAGGGGTATATAAACACAATGATGTGCTACACAAAGATCAAAAAATGAAAAAGTTATCAATTCCTAATCACATAGACTGGCCTCTTTATCTCTATATAACTTATATAGAGATAAAGAGACCAGTCTTTATGATTAGGAATTAGTAACTTTTTCATTTTTCTTATATTATAATAATATTGAAAATTTAATTTTCCAGACTATGAAAAGATGAAAAAGACAGAGACTAAATCTTTGTACTACAACGATTTAATTTCAAGTTGTTCAGAAATAAAACATGATTTAAAGAGGAAAAACACAATGGTAAAGTACATTGTATTTTTTGTATATTTTTAAAACGTTAAGATTTTAAATGAAAATTAGAGTTCTTAAGTTGAAATTTTGTACTTATTATTATTGTATCAGCATTACAGATTTATTAACATTTTGTTTGCTATTTTAGAAGTCCTGACATTGCAATCGAGAAAAAAAAAAAAAGACCATCGATCAGAAAATTCTAGTTCTGACTCTTTGGATAATGAACATTTGGTACCACTTCTTTCCCCACCCCCATTTAAACAGTCAACTTCCACCACTTCCACAGATCAAATTAATAAACCTTCACTAACTAGTTCTATCACAAACATCACATCTGCAATTTGTAAGTTTTGCATTTAGAATAGTTTTTTTTTGCATATATGTTGTTTAATTATATTTGCAAAAAGATGTTCTTTTTATAATAGACCGCTTTTGAAAGTTACAAAATACTAATTTTTTTATTGTTCCTTGTGCTCTAAAATTTTATTATGTGCTACAAAATTTTACTAAAGCCTGAGTTGAGTGTATCTATTTTTTGAGTCACTCTACGCCTAAGTTGGCGTAGAGTGACCCAAAAAAAAAATTAAAAAAGTCCCAAACATATAAGTAAATGATGATAAAAATGCATACTTACGCAACTCCAATAAAAGCAGCATTGTTTGCATATAAAAATGCTCGAACTATAGTGTACAAAACGTAGCAGGGAATCTATAAATAATTAAAACTTTAAAAACTCTATTAGTTTTAATAAAAAAGAAACAAATTAAAAATCATGGCCAACGACACGAATTTTGAAGATTGGGGGAGGGGAGCACAATCGTAAAATTCTAAAACAAGTCCTCTATATGTAAAAGTTCCTTAATAATAAAAAAAAAGGTTATTTAGAAAAAAGTGTGTGGGGGGAGGAGGAGGGTTGGCGAGACCCAATTCCCCTTGTGTCGTTAGCCCTGAAAGTTAAAAAAAAATCATTAAAAACACTACCTCCAAACTTAAATCAGAAAACAACGAAAGCATACAGAGAATAAGTGTCAACACTATTGTAACAACAATTGGTTTAATACATGATCGAATTTCAGATATACGTTTATTTGAATGCTGAAGAAATGGAGACTTTTCATCAACTTTGTTTTCACTTTGATGAAACAAAAAACCAACTATTGGTGTTACAAGTATTCCGCCCAATTGAATATAACCAAACAAATTAGTGTAAATACTCACTAAATTAAAATATACATTTATATATATATATATATATATATATATATATATATATATATATATATATATATATATATATATATATATATATATATATATATATATTCAGTGCAGTCTAAATCCAAATAGCATAAAAAGATAAAACCTAACTTTTCTACTTATATTGATTTACAATATTGATTAAAAACCTTGTGCTTGATCTTTGAAAGTCAATTTTGTTATATTGTCATGCATTGTACCGACATAATACCAAAGTTTTAATTGTATAACTGTCGAAACCGGTTTCGACATGTATTCTTTCATGTATATTTTGCAATTGATGGTTAACCATCAATTGCAAAATATACATGAAAGAAAATATGGATTCGAAGATGGTACCTGTGAATGATTATAAATGTTCTAAACTTAATTCAATAATAGTTCATACATTTTAGTTCAAAAAATATTTAGAAATTTTTATTATACCAACAAAATATTAGATTTAATGTTAAACAGCGTTATTAAACATTTACTATTGCAAATTATGATTAAAAACATTTTTTTTAAAAGTGTTTTTTTTTAAATAACTTTTATTCATTTTCACATTTAGTTAATACTTTTATTTATAATTAGTATTACCAAGCTAATTAACACACTATGAAAGCAATACTAATAGTAAAATATTGGCAATTTTTATTCATGAAAACTTATATGCTATTAAATAATAAGCTCAAAGATTAGGAGGTTGAAGTTATTACAAGCTAGTTACCTTGGTTACAACTATCACTTTCAATTGAATTGTTTCTAAAATACAATCGAGTCAAAAAGTAAAATTTTAAACAAATCAAAACAAAACAAAAACAAAAAACGGCATATCTAGACAACTTATGGTATGATATAAATATTGTACAAATTATTTTTTTTTACGATAGGTTGCATTAAAACATTTTTTTTGTGGCAACATTAGATTAAAATTAATCAAACTTATAGGAAAAATAAACTGAAAAAAAGTACTTTTTCTGAGAATAGACCTCCAGGTGGTTTATTCAGTGCCGTGCCAAAAGCCCCCCAAACCCCCTGGTTGGGGTGAGCAAACTTTACATTTTTATTAATAAAAATTAAAAAAAAAAAGGAAAATTAAAAAAACGCTGTTTTAAAGTTATATACACATTTAATATATATACCGTATAATCTCTCTAATCCGAATCTCCTTAATTTGAAAACCTCCATAAATCGATTAAATGCAAAGTCACCGTAAAATAAAAAAAAAACTTTCTGTAATTCTAAAATCACTCTAATTCGATTTTTTATTTTCCCCATTTTTGTTCGAATTAGAGAGACTGTACTGTATATATTTACCAATATATAAACATTGTAAATGATCAAATGAAATAGTTGTTTAACCTAAAAAATAGGGCCCTATTTTTTGTTGTTATTCCAACTATCCTCCATTAGGACCAATCATTGACTTGGATCCGCCATTGATTGTATTGCTGAGTTAGTGGACGTTTTATTTTAGTAAAACTTTCGTTTAGAAAGTTTTGTTTAGCTTAGTTTAAGTTAAATCTTATAAAAAAGATGCTTTGTTATTACTAAATTAGTCTACGCAGCGCAAAGATACAGCTGCTAATTTTTAATTTAAAAAGCAATCTTTTATTCAAAAATTGCCTGCCCAGGCCAAAACCCTCCGTCTATGTATGTACGTTCCACTACACCAATCCTTAGATAGTCAGTCGATGTATACACACTCCACTTCGCCAATTTCTAGATAGTCAGTAGACGTGTGTACACTAAATTGTGTTTACCCCTATATCAGTATACAAGTATATATTTGCAACCTATAAAATGAAACAATCAGATTTCGCTACTTGCTGAATTCCGATTGGTTCATTAATAGTCACAATGACTATTAGTGACTTTAGGCACAAAATTAAAGCAACAGTACCGTTGCGCTAAACACAGTGTTTAGTTAAGTTACAAAACATCAAATTATTATTTAATTCCAATTTTTTTTTTTTCTTCTTTCTTTTTATTTTTATCGATAAAACTTTAAAGGTTGACAGTTCTTAGGGGGAGTGGGTGGTGCGGTGAGGAAGGAGTGATTTTAAAAACAAATTACCCCCTCCTTAACCGGGGGACGGGCTTTACGTGTAACAAGGGCCCCAAATTTTTTTTTTTGGGGGGGCCTACCAACTGTCTTTCACGGCACTGGGTTTATTATATATATATATATATATATATATATATATATATATATATATATATATATATATATATATATATATATATATATATATATATATATATACATATATATATATATATATATATATATATATATATATATATATATATATATATATATATATATATATATATATATATATATATATATATATATATATATATATTACACTCCCAATAAATATACATTTTTTTAAACATCTTCGCTTCTAACAATGCTGCACACAACCTCTAATTAGTATTTGTAGAAAAAAGAAAAAGAAGCAAGATTACGACGATGGGACAAAGATTGAAGGTTGGCTGCAAGAGCAGGTCCAACTATGTTTTGCAATGCGTTTTTGCACCTTGTCTAAAAGAGAAAGGACATCATTAGAAGATCCGCCCCAGATATGGCAACAGTATTCCATACGAGGCCGGATTTGATATTTATAGATATAGAGAATAAAGAGATGCAAATTTAGCAGATACTAATTTTGCAACGGATTTGGTATATGGTTTTTAAGAAAGATCAGAAGTAAGAGTTAATCCTAAAAGATGAAGGGTAGATGACTCATTGAGTACTCTACCGTTCATAAATGTAGGAAGGTCCAAACTATCACAATAACAATTGGCTGAAAAAAATTCTTATCTAAATTAAATTTCAGTTTAAAAAAGCCTTATCTAAATTAAATTTCACCAGCCACTGTGAGCCCCATGCTGCAGCAGAAGCCAGATTCATTTCAAGCTTAAATGCCCCCTCCAAGCAATTAGAGGGAGTTAGCTTCTTATTTTGGCATGATTAAATGGTAATATCATCAACGAACAATGTCACCTTAGATATGAGAATTTCAGGAAGATTGTTAATGTAAATTAAAAAAAGTATAGAGCCAAGGATTGAACCTTGAGGAACAACCCTTGGCCCAAATCAGCCGTAGATCGAGAAGATCGAAATCCATATTGATGATCAGAAAGTAGGTTATGAGATTCAAGATGAGAGATTAAGTGTTTGTTATTTAAAGATTCAAAAATCTTGCTTATGATAGGAAGAAGACTAATGGGACGGTAGTTAGATGAATCGGATCGCTCTCCAGAATTTTTTAAAATAGGGATAACAGATGCTGTTTTCCAGCAGGCTGGAAAACAAGACTCTGATAAGCACTTGTTAAATAGTTTTGAAAAGATAGACGACAGCTCTGGAGAACACTTCTGCAAGACTATAACAGGTATGTTTCTGGGACGCAAGCTGTAGAAGAGTCTAAGCAGGAAATCACTTTAGATACAGAAGCTGGAGTGATATGGATGTCGAGCAATGAATCAACTTGTTTGACGGCTGTATCAGGTAGAACGAAACTAATGGAGTCAAGAGATGATATTGATGAAAAGTTCTTAGCAAACAATTCAGCTTTGTCTTTAGGTGAGGTGACAAAGTCTGAACCATACAAAAGAGGTGGAATTACAGACTTGCCCTTATTATTGATACTATTAAAGATTCTCCAGAAGTCACGAGAGCCTAACTTTTGTGATGAAATACGAGATTTCATGATCTGAGAATAGCGGGCTTTGGTGTTAGACAAAACCTATTTACAATGGTTCTTAGCAGTAATAAACAGACGTTTGTTTTCTATAGAATTTTGCTAATAGAAATGGAAGTAGGGATTTCGATTGTTAATAACAGCAGCACAAAGTTGACTATTTGAATTAAGGACTGATAAAGGCAAAAGTTATGGGCTTTAATGCCTGCAGAGTCACTGATACCATAGCCAAGCCATTCAGTGTGATGAACATTAAAGTCACCGACAACAACAATATTGGCTGATAGATAAAGAGAGAGGGCTTGGACAATATGATCAGAAATAACATCAAGAAGAGTGCAGTCTTGAGATGAAGGAGAGCGATATAGAACAAAGAGAAAGGTGAAAGAGAGTGAATTGGTGCTAACCAAAATCACCTAAAAGAGTAGCCTGTGGATTCAAATCTAGTTTCCCGACAAATGGGTGAATTCTTACGAATGTAAATGCCCAGGCCAAACATGTGGCTATTGGAGTCTTTATGAATTAAAGGAAGATAACCATCAACACTAAGATCACAAGATGAGACAGCTGAACTCAAATTAGTCTCTATAGATTTTAAACTGAATCAAAAGATCTCCGTGAAAATGTTTAAGGGCTGATCATTTATTACGTCAACAATTTTTAGGTTATTTTTTACTTCTCCCCCTCCCCCCTTGTCAACAACTTGTCAAACTTTCAGTGACCCCCCTATAAAATTACGTCAACATTTGATAACCCCCCACCCCCTCTTTCAAAAATTAAAAAAAAAAAAAATTTAGATGGAAAATAAAATGTTATGAATTCCCTAGTTTAAAACTGAAACAAAAAAGTGATTTAAAGTAAAAAGTTTAGAAAAAACAAATGTATTAAAATTTTAAGTAATAGCTTTTTAACTAAATGAATATAATCATTTAAAATTACAAATGTTTGCTCTCAACAAAAAGTTAATTAAAGTAAAAAAGTATAGAAAAAAAAAATTTAAGTTTTAACTTATAAACATAATTCCAGTTTAAAAATACAAAAGAGCCTTTTTTTGTGAACCTTTAATCTTTTTTTTACTTTTATGAAAAAAAGATTAAAGAGTTCACAAAAATGTTTACACCTTTAAATCATGATCATATTTCAAATTAATAAAATTTTCCTCACTTTAACATTAGACCTAATACAAAATTACAGTGAAAGCCAATTATTTTTAATAGAGTCTAGAATAACAAAAAAAGAATTTAACAAATATTACAAACCAGGTGTTGGCAACCTTTTTAGACGGAAGAGCCAAAAGTTACAATATACGAGGTTTTTCAGTTTTTAAAGAATACCAACGTCTTTATTTCAATATTATATTTAGGGATGCTGAGTCCCGAAAAGGTCTCCGGATTTGAATATCACAAAAAGATTATTTCTTCCTAGTTTTTGGTATCCAGGAGCTCTAATAATATAAAAATGCTTATAGATTACTATTGATCCAAATGATATTAAATACGCAAATTCTTCTCATTCAAAAACAACATAATATATTTCTTCATAATTTTTATTACCCCCGGTCTTTTATCTTTTTTATAACACAATAACCCAAAATTAAGTCAGGTTGTTGCCACTTCTGATCCCTTGAATTTTTGAAAACTTCACTTTCTGTCTAAAGAAATAATTTGCATTTACTATATGTAAATACAAACCTGTTAGAACTTTGTTACTTCATAACTCGCAATCCAATTATTTTAAATAAATTTTTAAAATTATTCACAAATAATATTATTTAGTTTTGATTTGATAACTTTAATTTGAATTGTAATTTATAGTAGTGCTGTCAGTTGATACACATTTTTTTTCATTTAGGTTAAAAGCATCAAACTTGGTTAACATGTTGATAAGGTCGAAATATTTTTTTTTAGACTCACACCCACTTTCATATTTACCACACAAGGTCTCCATGGAAACAAGCACTAGTCCTTAGAAATAACATTTTACTTTTTCAAAATCAAATAATTTATACACCAATCAAAAGGCCAATCAAAATGAAGTAAAAAGCTCAAA